GAATGTGTACCGAGTTTCAACCTGTAACGACGTTTACCGAGTTTTAATCATCAAATACCGATAAAATCGAACATAACCTAATACCGAATACCGATTAGTACCGAGTTTTAGAATGTGTACCGAGTTTTAGAATGTGTACCGAGTTTTGGGAATTAACCCAGTTATGATTACCATAAACCCTAAAAGTCGGTAATTTTAGATTAGTAACGAGAAAAACAAACTTTTTCGGTAAATCGTTTCGAACCTCAGGCATTCTATCAGCGATGGTTTTTGAATGGAGAATACGAAGATCTACGAGTTGAAATGCTGGAGAACTACGAACGAAATGTTGCAGAACTACGAAGGAAATGCTGGAGAACTCCGAAGGATTTGCTGGAAATCTGAAACAACGAAGTAAACAGTGACGAAGACAGGGATTCGAAACTCCGTAATAAAGTGTAGCGTCGCACTTCGAAGTGTTTCCGTTTTTTTTTGCCATTTAAATTTTAACACGTGCGAAAACCCAAAACACAGCGGGTCGGGTCGGCGACTTTTCTTCATGCTACGTGGCGTTATAACATTGGTGGCCGAACGTAGAGGAGCGTACGTTCACCGGACCAAATAATTGTTCCTAATCAAGCCATGGAAATATCCCAAGGAGTTTCCATATCTATGGGCCTATGGCACAGAATTCCAATTTCTTGGTTAGTAATTCAAAAATGAAATTAAGATTTTGTTTGGGATAAATTTTTTAATTACTTTTTAAAGTAATTTTTTAATGTAAAATATTTTTGAAAATTGTAAAAAAATAGTGTCCAATAGCTATCCCAAATGAAATCTAAATTTATTTTTCAAAATGTTCTTGCTAATTGTTTGAAAATATTAAAAAAAAATAATGGTCAATTGCTATCTCAAATGAAGTCAAAAGGTATGTGTTTTCCAAGGAAGAATGAGCTTCATTTTGCATTGAACAAATGACTAATTAACAATAATGTAGAGTGTAAGATATTTTCATTTAATGGTAAAAAATTAAATATTATGTGCACACATTTTTTTTAGGTATGAAAGCAAATTAGACATGCATTACTTTGGGTTTTTAGTAGTGGCTCTGTAAGTATCTTATGTTGAACTTTAAATTTAAAGTTGCTTACGTTAGACAAGATGAATGAGAATTATTGGAGGTTTTAAAAGATATATCAAATGTTCAATGATAAATTGAGGACATGTTTATAATTATATTTATGATGAAATTGTTATAATTGTGTTAGTAATACTCCCCGTGCTATTTAGGGGTACTGTGGGGTGTTACAGATGTGGTGAGTTTTGATTCGCTTCTGGATGGTCCAGTGTCTGTACATAATAATTTCTCTATTTTGTGGCACTTTTTACAAGTCGTAGAAAGTAACTAGGTGAGTATGAAAAATATCAAGTTTGGGCGAGCAACACACATGCACACATTTTATAATGATAGCCTCCACCATCAGTGCAATTCAAAATTCATATGCTATTTCATACTACATAGCATTCGCCAATAGGTTCATTTTAAATTGAGAAAGGTTATCAGCAATATTGAAGCCAAGTTTAACATATAGGTTTCATACATGAATGTCATAGATGTTAGAGGGAAGACCATCAAGGTCTTTTTTTGGTGTTTTGGACTAATGTCATTCACTCAACACATTAATGGAGGACATATATTTTGACAAATGACTTGGACCATTTGTAAGGCATAGTCATGTGGCATTTGGATCTACTATAGCATGTTGGATGTTTGTCTAGCAATTATAAGCATTGATGAGGATTTTTTAGGTAAGTAAATACAAAAGGATGTTACTTATTATTGTCGGTCTATTTACACTAATTTTGATAGTTTTAAAGTCTAATTGCAACAAGATATAAGCATGGTTTCTTAAAACTTTAAATGATTTAATCTCTCATTGGTTTCATCGACACAACATTAGTGTATCATTTTAGATAAACATGTAAGTATAGTCTATCGATGTTGAGAAATTTTCCTATATGTTGCACATCGACAATATTTAAGATGACTTTGAGATAATTTTAATATATTTCACTATTCATGAAACAATCACTTGCTATTGTGTTATAGGAAAAATGCTAATAAGTAGATATTTTATCACATAATAAATATTATTAACAAAAAATGGACCAAGAATTTCAAAGATTTTCAGAGCCCACATGTATAAATCCAAATGAGAACCAATTATCTGGCATGGCTTCCAAATCCTTTTGAGTTGATCTAGTCAGCAAGGGGAATGTTGATGCTTGTACAACTAGTTAGGATCATATCACATATCATGTTTGCACATTATTGTCATGTTGAGTTAAAGACATCTTAATCAACAGATATATGGTTTAAGTGTATTACTTCTTATAAAATTATAGGCTAATATATGAAAAAGAATTTCATGCAATTTGAATCAAAGCTACATTTACAACATCTACCATTTCTTAAGGAATTAAAAGTATTCCTCACATACTTTCTAGAGGTCTCATTTTAACACACCTATACTAAGGAGTCGAAGGAGCCAACAAAACACAATCGTATCCGTTTAATTGGTTGTTTATATGTATAGTCTTAAGAACATTTGTATACTGATAGATCGGTCCTACATATGTTATACCTGAGAGAGTTCGATATAAAGAGTCTGAGACATAAGTATTCTTTATCTTAAATCAAACTATTTTAATTTATCTAATGATTCAAAAATAATTATTTTTTTCATCATTATTCAGGTAGAAAAAAATGTGTTCAAGAAGGTCTCCTAGTAATGTTAAGCTCTATATGGATGAAATTGACGGTTTACTCAAACAATAAGTAAGAAGTACTTTTATTGTACTAGTACTAGCATTCTAGGTAAACAAACAAGCATTCATTATCATTGGTCAAAAAGGCAATGAAGACAAGGAACATAACCTTAGACGGTTTAATCGTGATTTTTTTTTTTTTTTTTTTGTATTTTCTCAAGACCTAAATCAATCAACCAAGCATATATTATTCTAGAGACCCAAGAAAAAGAGTAATGTTATATCTCAAAATTTATAATACACAATTATATTTTTTTTAAATATCATACAATATTGAACTTTTATACAACATGATCACTTCTTGAATGTTCAAGAAATTTTTTATCCTAATTTTAGGAGAGAGGACAACAATCCCATTCAGCATGTAATAATTAAGTTCAAGGAGTTATATTATAGCATACAAAGATACTTGCACATTAGGGATACTAGGTAGTAGGAAGAAGGCCAAGAGAAAAGTATTAGGCATGCAACATTAATAGTGATATTGGGTTCATTGATGATAGGCTCATAACCATCGACATTTATATAGATTCATCATTCCATATATCCATATGCATTTCCATCTCACGGTACATATAACTAAGCCATTACAACTCACTACCAACATTGGCCATCCTTCTATAGTCCAACACACTATTCACACCATTTCCTTATTTTACTCTAGTTCAACTTTGTATGTTATAAGGATCGATTCCAATGATATACATGGAGTGGCATTGGGATGCCACATTTGATTTTATTTTCGCGTTCATATTATATACAACAATGACTTAATCATAAGTTTCACATGAACTAAATGAGGATATTGGTGGTGTTATACGGCCAAACTAGTTACGAGCTCATCTATTACATGTCTCAAATTACTACATACTGAGAATAAATGACATATCACAGAGACCTTAGTGAGGGCACTAACTAGCTAGACATTTGTGATTTTTTGTTTGTACACATGCTTTATGTATGGTATTTTCCATTGTAGTATGATATTGGTTCAGTTTGTGTGGTTAATTTTAGCTCATAAATTGGCTCTTATTAAATCACATCTAAATATTATATAAATAAATTAAATGCTGTGTCATCTTGATAACTATTTTATGTACTAACATCTCTGAAATATCTCGTATTCATATTTGTTGATATAGTATTTGTGTGCAACATCAATAGTAACTCATGATACTCTTTTGTTTAGCGACACTTACAAAAAAAATGATTTAACTTGCAATATTATTACATATGCAATGAGTTAAATTATTTTCTTAAGTATGATGTAAACTTTTGGTTTTCTTTTCTTTTTTTTTTTTTCCTTAAGCATCAAAATTTTATCGTGCAGTGATAAGATTGGGCTTGGCTTCTGCCACTCAAATGAGTGACCCATCTTTATGCACAAACTGCACATCGCCGGAGAAATGAGCTCAACTACCGCTTCGTCAGCTGCCGCCGCGGCTAGTGCGGCTCTTTTCCGGCTCAAGCCTAGACGAGAAGATCTCCATAATAACCTTCATTTCCGTGTCATCAATCCTAACACTACTTCAAACCCCCGGAGCTAAACCTCGGCCACAGAAAACCATCATTACCGTCTCATCTCAGATCCTCCGGCGGAGAGAGACAGCCTTCTCCATTGCCGGCCTGTGCCTGGCCTCCGTTTTCGATCCCTCCTCTCTTATCCTTCCTTCTTCGGCCATTGCGGCCGAAAGACCGGCGGAGCCGGACTGCCTCCTCACGGTTGCTCCCTCTGGCCTCGCCTTCTGCGACCGGGTAGTTGGATCTGGCGTTGGACCATCCAAGGGCCTTCTCATTAAAGTACGATTTTGCTCAGTGACAAATATTCTCTTAAGAAATTTTCTTTTTTCCCGTAAAAAGATGAAGTTTTGTTAATGCGGAAGGCGCACTATGTGGGGAGATTGGAGAATGGAAAGGTGTTCGATAGTAGCTATGATAGAGGGAAGCCGATCACGTTTCGAGTTGGTGTTGGTGAGGTAGGGCATTTTTGCTTCTTGTAATTAAGCATGGCATTCTTCTTGATTTTTACATCCATTATGCTTGAGTTTCTACAGATGGGGACATTTTGATACAAGGTTGCTACATTTAGGGATTATCTACTTGGTATTGTAAAAGTGACTGTAAAGTAACAAGTATATATAAGAACTTACCCTTTGTATTTGTTTGCATGTATTTAGGATATATGGGTATTTCAAATGCATTATAAAGTGAATATATTTGCATATTGATTTAAACACCGTCATTGCTAGGTCTGAAGCCTTGGATAAGAAAAGTGGAGAGTTGCATTAGGTAGTTAACAACCAACGTAAAACTTATCAAATAATCATGATATGAATCATTTAATACATTGTGTTAATACTAGGGCATTCCCTGGAAGCGACACATTGTATGGCTTGAATACAGTGATAATTGTGTAAGGGCCCCTACATCGGTGCCCGAGTGCAGTGTTAAATAGGCAAGGATTCCCACATTATTGATGGATGTGAGTAAAGAAGCTAGCCCATGACACTAAAATAGGATAGAATCTTAAAATATATGTTCCCTTATATGCATATTAATGAAATTAATAGATATTATGATTTATATGAAGATAATATTTTACCCATTCAGGAAACTAAATTAGTTGGATAGAAAACTATAGAGATTGATAGTTTAGGATTTAAATTATTATATTCTAACAAGAGTTGTACTAGAAATGATGGTGTGATTATAGATAAGAGTTTAAAAGATAATGTTATAAAAATTAATAGAATTTGAGATAGAATTATAGCTGTAAAGATTATTATTGATGCTATGATTATTACTATTATAAGTGTTTATGCTCCTTAAGAAGGTTTAGATATGTATTCAAAATTAAAATTTTAAAATGACTTAAAAAATTAATACAAATTGATGAGATTTAGCATTTTTCATCAATCAACTTTGCCAACATATACATCAATCCCTTGAGTACCACTTTTAACAGCTCATGCTCCTACGCTGCTTCGTCAAAGAAGCCATGGACTTTGAACTACCCATAAAATGAGTTACTCTATCTCTCTATAGCTATTCTACTGCAGATTGGGCAAGTCATAACACCAATCACAAGTTCATTACAGGGTTTTACTCTTATCTTTGCAACACTCATATCCTAAAGTGTGAAGAAACGACACACCATTGCAAGATCTTCTACAGAGGTCGAGTAGTGAACCCCGCCACCACCGACATCACTTGACTTTTGCTAACTTATCCAAGAATTCCAAAGTCTAGTTGATCAACCGACGACACTTCACTGCGATAACATCTCTGCTATGTGAGCACTGAGCACCAATAATGCTATCTTCCATTTTGCAATCAAACATATAGAGATAGACTACCATTTCATTATATAATGCATGTACTAGACAGAATTTTTTGTCCTACTTTCGGCTCTCACAACCAACTGGTTGACATTCTCATAATACAACCATGCGCTTTGTAGAACTTCGAGACATGATAACTATTTATCCTTGCTCTGTTAGCTCGAGGGAAGGTAATAACCAATCTCATGATGGCTGTGGTAATGAAGCAGCCATCACTCCTGCAGAAGCAATCTCAGCTGAACATTAATAACAATTCAAGCAGTTCTGGCCGTTCAAGTATGTAAGGGTCCAGCTGCATGACAGCTCATGTCTTTTTTAAGCTTACAAAAACATTGCTCTGTATCAGTAAGATTCTTTAATGAAACTGAATCATTTCTACTCTAGTTTGTCCTTCCTCCGTAACTGCAATACTTGTTATCTAGCTGCTTCTCCTATCTCTTTCTTCACTATTCACAGGTGATTAAAGGATGGGATCAGGGTATTTTAGGTGGTGAAGGAATCCCTCCAATGCTTGCGGGTATAAACACAACTGCAAGGTTTTAATTAATTTTCCACCATTGACTGTGATGATCAAGTGCTTCGTTTCCATTTTTCCCCTCAGGTGGCAAGCGCACATTGAAGCTTCCTCCAGAACTTGGATACGGGATCAGAGGTGCAGGTTGCAAAGGAGGTAAGCTTTCCTCCTCCTTTTTCCATTTACGGTGAGTTTTCTTCTGGTTACTTTGTTGAACTTAAATAGCCATTGATTTTCTCATGCTTCCATTGTTTAGCTTTGCTTATATTGTCTGCTTTCTTACATGTTTAAGCACGCAGGTTGAGGCTACCAAAAATACAAGCTTCATGGCATATTCTTTAATGAATTCCAGAATCTAATCAAGCTAAAGAATGTTATCTTCCATGATTCCACAATGTCAACTGCAATCTCCTTCATCTGGGGAATGAAAAACAATGATTACAACTTTGGATTTATTCAATGAATTTGATTTAAACATCACTCTGTTAACCATTTTCATTAGGAGTTGAAACCAACAATGAAGAATAAGATTTCATTTGGGATGGCTTTTTTACTGCTTCTTAAAGAAGCTTTCTTGTTGAAAAATTAAAATTTTTGTACTAAAAGCTGCTTTAAGAAGCAATAATAAATCTGTCCCAGACGAATCCTAAGAAAGCTAATTGTTAATCATTACACCATCAAACTGTAGAACTCGTTTAAACTCCATAAACTACCAATTTGTACCATTATTCTTCAGCACATTCTCACAAAGTCCTAATTCTAACTTGCTTGTTGGCATCCTTGAAAATCACATATTTTATAATTTATTGTTTTTTATTCTCATAAAAATAAAATCAAGGATTCAGGAGTCCATGCTTGAGCTGGAACTTAGAAGCAAAACAAATTAAGAAAATGACAACCTCATCTAAATTAGTTTAAAATGCTTAATGAGCTTCAACGTAAATCTCACTTCCTCTGCATCAGCTTCATTACTGAGATTTTCTGCTCACTGGGTTTTGTTTGCTTCAGGTACTTGCATTATTCCCCCGGATTCAACTCTCTTGTTCGATGTTGAATTCATAGGCAAAGCATAACTTCCTGCATCTTCTTGAAGAATAAGAACTTTACATAAAAGAAAACCAGGTTAGAAATAAACCTGACTTTAATGTCGTAAATGTTAAAGTTTTGTTTGGGATTGTTTTCTTATTACTTCTTGAAACAGCTTTTTAGTATAAAAAAATAATTTTTTACTAAAAAGTTGCTTCAAGAAACAGTAAAAAAGCCATCCAAATGAAGTCTAAGATATATTTCTATGAAACATGATGGCTTTAGCAACAGAACTAATGAAGTTCCTGTTGCCAGTGATGAAAATGCGTGTAAATAACCACTGTTTGGTAGTTGTATGCATCTAATCTTTAGCCATATTTTGCTTGTTTGAAGTTATAAAACAAAATTGAGGTTTTCTGTTTTGGTCATTGGGTTGGTGCAGAGAGAAAGGGAAAATTATTTTTCATTTGCAAGTTACCAAATGAGAGCACTTGGCATAGATCAATGTGATAAAGGTGGAGAAAACAAAACGGAAATGGCAAAGAGAAAATACTTCTGGTGAGCCATTCTATAATTAAGTGAAAATTTGCTGATGGATTGTTCTAAACTAACCGTAATTTATAGGCTACTGAACCAACCTTTGCTTTCATCTGATAACGATCATAATATGGTAGTTTCATTCTATTTTGTCTATTCAACTAATGCTCTATTAGTTGATAGTGGATTCTCTTTGGATTCGTTTAGGATAATTTTTTTACTGCTTTATAAAATTACTATAAAAATTTAACTTTTTTAATTATTATGGAAAACAGTTTTCTTGCATGATTTTTTTTAAAAGCAACAAAAAATAGCAGCAAAATAGAAAGTGTGACCGCGATATGAAAAAATAAATCATGAAGAAAGTTTTTCCAAATGAAGCTTTTATCTTAGCAAGATATCTACTCTTTTAGTATCTAATGGGTGAGACAGGTTTCATTTGGGATGGCTTTCTTACGGTTTATTAAAGTAGCTTTTTAGTACAAAGATTAAATTTTTTGCACTAAAAAATTGTTTTAAGAAGCAATAAGAAAGTCATCTTAAACAATGTTTTTTATGGAATAACATAAGGAGTTGATTATCATAAGCTATCTAAAATGATGTTATTATTGTTGATGAATATATAGCAAGATTATATAAGAGTACAACCTAAGAAAGAAATTTCACCCAGTCAAAAGGATGTATACATCACAAAACTTCAGAAGTATTGTTTTAATCCCGATTCATTGTGCGGATGTTGAATGCCGTCTGGAGGCCAATCAGAATGTGTCACATCACTCCCAATTCGGTACCCGATTCGGTACCGTTGACGTGACACATTCTAGTTGCCTCCAAACGATGAGCTGCGTTCAGCATCCAAACAGAATAATCCCTCTGATTCACTACTTCAATATGTTCGGAAGATTCTAGATCATAAGCATTATTATGATTCAAAGTAGTTTTCTAAGCTGAAATAAATTTCTTTTTTAAATGAACTTGTAAAGAACAACAACAATCCAAACATCCTTTGATTTCATTCCTTAAAATTTATGTATAATAATTCAGTTTATAGAAAATTTATATATCAGAAGAAATAACACTAGATTGCAAAAAAAAAATTCTCAAAATATCGCTCCCGACATTATCATGAGTCTACAACATCTTTTCCTTTTCTTGAATTATTAGAGAATTATCATAGAATGAGTATTACTAGCTCAATAGTTTTTTTTCACATTCCCATCATAAATACAATACCATTAAAATATGAAGAACAAATTATTCAAATGTTAGGGTAATCAATAAAGTATAAACTAATTGATTCAAGAAAGGAAACTTTTGAAATCATTAATTTACTTTCACTGAGGTATTAGAGATACCATGATATACTTGCTATCAAAGTATTTTTTACACTTGACCCTCCTTAATTCATCAAAGTGTACACATAGATCTCAGAGTTATCGAAATATATTCAAAAGATCATTTGTACTCAATTTATAGTACTTTCAAAAACATGTAATGTATGAATATATTGCACATATCCCGATGTCTGTTTATAATTTCACTTTTACTTATAACTTTCTTCTTAACCTACCACATCTTGCATAGAACAAGTGGGGTTAGAATAGAGCAGAGCAGCACAAAGCAACCTCCCACACCCGTATTCAGTAAGTGGGGTCAGAATCTATCTCATCTTCACGAGAGATTATTAGGTGCAGAGTGCAGACGGGGAGAACCGTCTGCACACTAGTATAAAATCCAGCTAGGTACCGTTCGGTACCGCTGGGTACCACTAGGTACCTCTTGGTACTCTGTATCTATGCAGATGGTGCTCTCCCCGTCTGCACTCCGCACCTAATATGGAGCCAAAACATAATAGTAGAGCCTTTAGAAAATCAATACGTGAAGATTCAATTTCTAATAGTAAAAAACTCCGGATTAACACAGACTACACCATATAAAAAGTTACATGATGAAAATATTATAAAAACCCAAGAAAATATATATTTTTGTTCATATCTTATTATAAAATCATTGGAATTAAAATTATATGCAAGTGTTTAGAAGTCTATCTTGCGCTCGACGATTTCTATAACTTGCACAACAATTGAATCCCGAGCTACGACCCACAAATCTCTCTCATCTTTCTCTCTCCTATCCTCTCGAGCCATGATAAAGGGTGGAGGGGGTAAGGGGGCTGGTGATTTTAAGAAAATAATTTTAGATATTTATATATATAAACATTATTTTTAATATGGCACCACGACATTCACTTCTCCTATGTCGTAGCCTTCCATGAATATTTCATATGAGCTTAGATTCTTCAAAACTCGAGAGCAAAGTGTCGCAACGCTACCTTAAATTGTCCTTCTCAACAGAGAGAACAATGTCGCGACGCTGCCTCTCCCAGTGCCGCAGAGCCCAATGCACATTTTAGCTACTTAAAAAGTTCTCCTACTGCCATAATTATACTTTTGTTTAAACTTATTCAAGCTCTATAGAATTCATATATAATTCATAACTAGAGCAGGTTAATGCAAGAATATTCATGCAGAATTAAGTTAATTACCTGGTTTCAGAAACTACAAATATTACAGCAAAAACTACCCTTCCCCTGAACTCGAATATGTTTAAAATAATTTCTACAATGTGAGTGAAAAATTGAGTGATTTTGAGCTTATTAGACTCATTTCATGAAGATATACATTTGTTATTACAAAGTTATTTAAAATTAAATTTAATGAACCCAAAGTCAGCATAATTTTTTAAAAAATTTTAACTGTGTCAAAATCTATATTTGAATGGACAAATTTTCTGAAAATACTTCAATTCAAACATATCAATGAAAAAAAATGCAAGAAAAATATGCTAAGATAGATTGTACTGTTCATATTTGCGCCTTCAACAAAGCGCCTCCCAATATTTTCTAAGGCTTCGGTCGAGACTGTTTTCTTAATACTTTTAAAATCTGCTTTCAAATGCTATTGTCAGAAAGCAGTAAGAAAGTTGTCACAAACGAAGTCTGAATACAGCAATGCATGACTGTCGGAAGAAAATAAAACTTTTTTTTTTAAGGACACTTAGGTTAATTAAGACATGCACACATGTGCATTACATAAGACTTAAATTTAAAATTTCTTAATTAATAGTCAAAACTCTTAATTAAGAAATTAAGATGAGCTAAGTATAAAGAAAAAAAAAACATCTTAGATTCAACGCTGGACGCCTCGTTATCTACCTGAAATGCTTTAATAAAGCCATTTCTCCATTTTACGTGGCAGCCACTTTCCTTGCCTTTAAAAATAGAGAGATGACTATTTCAATATGCTATTTGGAGGGTTGAGTTTATCTAATTTAGAGATCATTTAATTCTATTTGGGACGATTTTTTTGCTACTTTATTTTTTAGCCAACAGTAATAATTTTGTTTCAATGTTATTTTTTTATCAAGTTCTCACCGCTTTTTATATTGAAAAGTTGTTTTTTACGATCAGAATAATTAAATTATTTTTCTTATTTGAACTTTACAATCAACTTTATAAAATGTTACAGTCATCATATGCAGACCCTTAATTAGCAAATTTTCTAAAATATCTAATATATAATCAAAAAATTAACTTGATTGGGAGCGAATTTAGATGCAAATATGAGTTAGAGTCTTCAAAAATTAAAATCAGTACCATTCGAACTCCAATTTCAACAAGCTTATATTCAAATTAAACATCTCAAGGTGACGAATCCAGCGACACCAAATTTGAGTCTAAACGGGTCCAAATCAAATGACCAAAGCCTCTTTGAAAGCTAATTCATAACATTAATGGGATGATCAAATGATACTTAAATGTGACATATTTATAGTCCAATCGAGCGGTTCGACAAGACAAATCCAAGGAGCCCAAGATCGCCAAATTCTGACATCATTAAGATACTCAAATGCTTGATAAACAATACATGATCGAGGGAGTTGATAATGATCGTCTATCGAAACACTTCCAAAATACCCTTGATATTCTCCCTATTTACTAATCATGATATGCACTCCAAAAAAAATTATAAATAGATCCATCATTCTTCACATAATAGGGAAGAAAAAAAAAGAAGAGAAGAGGAGAAAAATTAAAGAGCTCTCATAGATTTTCCAGACATCATCGCTACCGACAACCACCGAAAACCACCACCATCATCGATAAAAGACATTAGAAATCATCAATATTTCTAGAATATTGACTAGATTTGACCCTATTATTGGGTACAAATATTGGATATTTTTACTTTCCTCTCCTTCCATAGTAAAGGAAGAAGGATTTTTGTATAACTTATTACCTAGTGAATTATGCAATTGGGTCAAGCCTTACAATTTTTCCCTTTCCGGGTTTCCCTCATAAAAAATTCTTTGGCCCTATTTTTTTTTATCTATTCGTGCTAAATTTTTATATTTTGCTAAGACGTCAAATATAATATCCATTGACTCAAATTTTTTAGCACGCAATAATACCATTTCAATCCAATTTGTAGTTTCGATTTGACAACAAATTTGATCGAGGATTACTTAAAGAATAATTTTCTCTATTTTTAAGTTAAAGAGAAATTATTTTCTTTATTTTTAAATGTCACATGTGACAAATTATTTTATTATTTTTATTTTTTAAGTATGATTACCAAGTGAATTGTCTATTAAAAATATACATTTGTTCAAATTTTAATACTGAAATTACTTGTTTATTTATTACTTTGGATTCAAATGCATAACATTAAATTGCGTATAAAATAAATTTACATTCTTCTTCGAAGTCAAATTTAGCTTAAGGGACTATTTGGTTGGCTATAAAGTGAATGAAGTGCAAAGTAAATACAACATAAAGCAAATATATTGTAAAGTAAATATTTTGAGACTGTTTGGTTGTATGTAAAATAAATATAAGAGATGTTATTACTAATTAAAAAAAAACTTTATCTATAACTAATATTCAAGCTTCAGCTTTCTTATCATTTTCAAAAATAATTTTTTTACTAAAATAATGCTTTAAAAAATAATAAAAAAATTGTCCCAATGAAACCCAATTAACCTAAACACTTGTACCATAAGCGGCATCAAACATACATGATCAACTATGTGTGCATCATATCTAATGTCAAATTTCATATTTTAAATCCAATAGAGTGTTCTCAATGATAATTTGCTCCGAGCTGACGCTCTCCGGATCCAGCTTTTATTTTTTTCCTATTTAAAGTAGACTAAGTAGAAGCCGAAGCTCCATAATTGGCAGCACGTCTTCATGCTGGTGCTGATCGATGGATGGGTTCCCACTCCTAACCATCGCCTTTCTTTCTCCCATTCATCTATAAATATATACACGAATCAATACAAAATTAAGCACAGAAAGAAGCAAGCAAGCAAAAACATGGCTTGCATCTCCTCTAGAACTTACGGCACCGTGGCCGCGCCACCTGACCCGGCTTCTCTCCACGCCCGCCGTCAATCAATCCGGCGCTGGTCCATCATTGCCTCCTCCACCGTTCTCCTACTCATTGTTGCCATAGTCTCCGCTGTCAGCATAACTCACAATAAGTCTAGCAACAACGACGACGGCGAAATCGGAGGGCCTTCACCCACCCTCTCCACCTCCGTCAAAGCTCTCTGCTCGTCAACCTTATACCCAGCTTCATGTTTAACTACTTTGAATCCCATAGCCAATTCTTCTCAAGCTTTAGACCCAATGAAACTCTTCCGCTTCTCAGTGCAAACAGCTATTACCGAGCTCTCAAGTGCTTCAAACCGCCTCAAAAATCTAGATGTGAAAGCAACAACAAACAGTAATTATTCTTCACAGGCCCTCAGTGCCTGCTACGAGCTGATAGATCTCGCCATTGACCAGCTCGACAATTCCATCTCTTCCTCCTCCTCCTCAAACCTCATCACCGACGACGACGTCCGCTCGTGGATGAGCGCTGCTATTACCTACCAAGAAACATGCATCGACGCCTTCGAAGCCACGCCTCCATATCTCAAAGATATGGTTTCTCTCTCGCTGAAAAACTCTTCTGAGTTTGCGAGCAACAGCTTGGCTATATTTAACCAGGTTTCTAGCCTCTTCGGGTCGGTTGGTGGGGTCGTCAATGGCGGCGATTTTCCGTCGTGGGTGACGTCGAAGGATCGGAAGCTTCTGCAGAAGTCGTCGGAGGATCCGAGGGTTACGGCGGATATCGTGGTGGCGAAGGATGGGTCTGGGAAGTACAAGACAATCAAAGCTGCGCTTGCGGCGGTGCCTGAGAAGAGCAAGAAGAGGACGGTGATATATGTGAAGAAAGGAGTGTATTATGAGAATGTTAAGGTCGAGAAGTACACGTGGAATTTGATGATGGTCGGCGATGGTATGGGCGCCACCGTCGTTTCCGGCAATCTCAATGTCGTCGACGGGACTCCCACCTTCCAGAGCGCTACATTCGGTACGCTACATAAATTCGAATGGAATAACACTTTATTCAACGGATATTTTAATTTTGATTTAATACGTAGCTAATAATGTATTGGAAAATTATTATTTTTTATTTATTAGTTAGTTATTAATAAATAACGCTTTAATCAACTGAATATATTCATATATATTATTTTAAAATGCGGACGAAATAATAGTTTTTAAATCATATATTTTAAAAAAATTATGATTAAATATTTTTTATACTGTATTTAATATTTTAAAAGAGATGACTATATAATTTTCTAAGATGTTCTTTATTAGAGAATTAAATTATTAAATCTATTTTTTATAAGTATAATTAAGATTTTATTTATTATATAAATAAAATTATTAGATCTATTTTCTTATAACTCAGATTATTCTCATTCTAACGTCGAGCTTGTGCCTGCGCAGCGGTATTCGGAAAAGGCTTCATCGGGCGGGACATGTGCTTCCGCAACACCGCCGGAGCGTCGAAACACCAGGCCGTAGCACTGATGTCCGACTCCGACCAGTCCGCATTCTACCGCTGCCGCTTCGACGCCTACCAAGACACTCTCTACACCCACTCCATGCGCCAATTCTACCGGGACTGCGACATCTACGGCACCGTCGACTTCATCTTCGGCAACGCCGCCGTTGTCCTACAGAACTGCAACATCTATCCCCGTCGGCCTCTTCCAGGCCAGCAAGACACCATTACGGCTCAGGGCAAGGTGGACCCCAATCAGAACACCGGGATCTCTATCCACCAATGTGCGGTCCAGCCATTGGGCGATCTTTCGGGTGTGAGGGTCTATTTAGGCCGACCGTGGAAGGCATACTCGACCACTATGTTCATGAAGTCGTCGATCTCCGGCGTTGTGGACCCGGCCGGGTGGTTGCCGTGGACGGGGAACTCGGCGCCGGATACTATTTTTTATGCGGAGTATGAGAATTTTGGGGCTGGAGCGTCGACGAAGAATAGGGTGAAGTGGAAGGGGCTGAGGTCGTTGAACGCGAGGCAGGCGGGCAGGTTTACGGCAGGGGGGTTCATTGGCGGGGAAGCTTGGATTGGGAAAGCCGGCGTGCCGTTCCAGTCTGGGCTTTAATCAGCTAGCAGTTGCCACTATTTTATACATTTATATGCTCTGCAGCTTGATTTTTGATTGTTTATTTATTCATTAATTTCTTTGGTATCAGCTGATTGAATTACTCAATAAATGAATTTGTTGATTAGATCAATATATATTTATATAAAAATTAATATTTAGTATGTTACTATGGTAGAAGAGATGCTTATTGTTTTAACATTGCACTAAGAGCATTTCCAACCGAACTCCAAATGCTTGACTGGCGTCACTCACGAGCACCAGCCGAACGGTAAAACTTCTGCTATTTGTTTTCGGGTGAACAGTGGTACGCCAATATTGACGTTGCACTGTTCATCTCCGCTATTTTTCAGTCTCTACCGAACTTACCAAAGAAACGCGCCAAAGAAGAAAACGACCGTTACCTTGGCAAAATGGAGTTCGGTTGGAGATGAATCATGCATTTTTTAGTTTCACGATATTTTGGAGTGAAAAATGATATTTTCGATTGGAGATGCCCTAAGGCTTTATTTGGGACATCTTTTTTACTGTTTTTTAGCACAGAAATTTTTTGAATTAGAAATTTTTACTAGAAAACTGCTTTAAAAAGCAACAAGGAAGCTATCCCAAACGAAGCCTAAAATGTTATATACATAACGTAAATCACTTAGTGCACATTGATGACGCGTATTTTTTGTTGTGCAAAATATGGAATGAAAAACCACATGGCCTAACTCAATTGAAGCTTTTCAGTCATGGCAGTTGAATATTACAAAGTTCTATAAGCTTTTGGATATCATACCTTCTTAATTTTATAATATTGTTGATGATAAAATTATAAAAATAATTGACCTTAAATTATGAGTAACATTCATTCAAACTCTAATGAATATAAATTAATTTTGATAATTATAATCTTTGACTCAAAAGATAAGACCAAAGAGTTCAAGGACTAGCATAGTTCCTTATTTAAGACAAATTAGGTTATAATTGTGAACTCCTTTTCACAGTCACCTCTTATTGATAATTAAAGAGCTTCTAGTAAAGTGTTATTATTGTAGAAGAAAAAGGCTTGCTCATTATTTCCTGACTAGTGAAATATAAAATCAGCTTTACATGTGAGAATATATAGTACTGTATTCTAATCCTACTTCACTCATGTAATGTAGATGATGAATTTGTTTGGTATGGTCATATGGTGTAAATGGATTTGTGCTACTCCATAGTTTGTCATTGAGCTCAGTTGTTATTAGCCCCTCTCAAACTGACATTGAGGTAACTGAAGAGTCAGTTTATTTCATAAATACTGAAACCGCTAAACTGGTAGAGGCTTGGTGAGTATATCACCCAGTTGTTCAAAAGAAGAAATAGGTAGCGGTTGTAGACGACGAGTTTGAACATGTTCACGGATGAAGTGATAATCTATCTCTATGTATTTTTTCGTATGTGAAGCATTAGATTTGTGGATAAGGCTATGAAGAAGAGATTGTCGCAGAAAATGGTCTTAGGTTGTTAAATAGTGATGGGGAAGTCCTATAAAAGTCTATGGAAACCAAATTATGTTAGCTGTTGTTACCACTAGTGCCATGTATTTGGCTTCGGAGGATGACTGTGCAATTGTGGGTTGCTTCTTGAGTGTCTATGAAATAAGATTGGAACCTTGAAATGAGCAGTAGCATGTGGTCAAACGTCATGTTGAGGGATCTCCAATCCAGTCGGAGTCAGAAAAGGAGGTGAGGTGTAGCGGTCCGAGTGAGATAGGCAATCTATACAAAATTGTGCCTTTGATATATATGAGAAGATGCTTGAGCATTTGAGAGTGTTGAGGAAGGGTTTGATGCATGTGTTGGCATGGTTGATTCGCGGCATACACAATATTCGATCGATTAATGGTCAAGTATTATAGAGATCGAGTAATGTGGAGGCATATAGCAGGTTCGAAAGGTTCATATGAAGAATTGGAGTAAGGGTTGGCTTGATGGTGTTGTTGACCTTGATTTTGTCAAACCTCTAGGCTTGGTGGTTTGAGTTGATCAAGTCAACCTTTGACTTGGTCAACCCAAGCCTTAATGGGTCAAAATTGACCCATTAGGCCCATTAAGAGCCCAAGAGTAATGGTCAGATATTATAGAGATCGAGTAATGTGGAGGCATATAGCAGGTTCGAAAGGTTCATATGAAGAATTGGAGTAAGGGTTGGCTTGATGGTGTTTGGTGTTTATGTGGGTTTACATGCGGTGAAGCCAGCTTTATGGAGCATAGAGTGAGCATATTGTTCATGAGAAAGAAACATGGAGCTGTTACGGCGTTGGATGTCAGTGCCAAGGAATTTGGATGGGAAGCCAAGATGTTGCATTGAGAATTTAGAGTTGAGATTCTCTATGATGTGCTGAATTTTTTAGTAGGAGATGTCGGTGAGAAGTATGTCATCAACATAGATAATCAAATAAATAAAGTGGCCTTGAGAAGTGTATATGAGTAAAGATGGATCATAGTGGCTTTTATGGAAGCCTAAGTAATACAAATGAGTGGAGAATGGTTGAAACCATTAATGAGGTGCTTATTTAAGGCCATAGATGGCTTTGTTTAGTCTACAAACTTTGGTGGGGAAGTTAGGATCCTCAAATCCTTTGGATTGTGACATGTATATTGCCACAAGTAGAGGGCCATAGAGAAAGGTGTTCTATACATCCAGTTGATGAAATGGCTCAAGTTTGGAGATGGAAAGGGTGAGAAGGACCTGAATGGAGGGCATCTTGACAACAGGGTTAAAGGTCTCTTGATAATTAATTAAATTTGTATTCCTGTCGGTGATCTTGTGCAACAAGGTGAACTTTGTATCATTGAACTAAGCCATCAGGTCTGAGTTTTAGCTGACATGTCCATCTGTAGCCTATAATGGAAATGTTGGAGGGCTTAGGAACTAGTATCAAAATTCCTTGTTTAGTCAAGGCATTGAATTCATCTTGTATAAGTTGTTTCCATTCAGGCTGTTGATAGACTTCTTTGAAGGAAAATGGCTCAAATGGTGTTGAGATGGATGCAAGTAGATTGAGTGGTTAGCATGGTTTGAGATTGCTAGACTTAGACCTGGTAATCATGTGATGAATGGGAGATAAGAAAACTGGTGAGGTGCCTTGAGGTGGACTAACGGGACTTGGTATTTTAGTGGGAGATGACAAAACAACATGTGAGGGAGGTCTTGTTGGTGGAGATATAGTATGTATAGTTGGAGTGTTTGTGGGTTGATATGTGGTGAGTATTAAGAGTAAGAGATTGGTTGGGGCGGCTCAGCCAAAAATAGAGCATAGGAAATAGGATTAGAATATGGAAACATGGTTTTGTCAAATTGAACATGATGAGAGAGGATTATTTTACCTATGATAGGATCAAGACATTTATAGCCTTTGGCATGCTCATAATAATCGAGAAAAATGCATAGAGTTGAGCAAGGTTGAAGTTTGTGGCGAGTGGGAGGGGGAAACCAGAGAAAGTAAGCGCATATAAATATGCGCATATGGAAATATGATGGAGAAACTTGGAACATAAGTTGAAACATATATTATTGCTTGGAGAGTAGGTTTGGCATCCTATTGATGAGATATGCAAATGTAATGGTGGCCTCTGGCAAGAATTTGCATGAAAGATTGGCCATATGAAGTAAGGTCTGGGCGATTTCAATGATGTCGCGATTCTTGTGCTCAACATAACCCTTTTGTTCCCCTGTATAAGGGCAATTGGTTTGGTGTATAATCTTGTGGTTTTGAAGGAAGGAGGTGAGAGTTTGATTTACAAACTCAGTTCTAAGATCAATATAAAGACATTTAATATTTAATGGGATTTGTTGTTCAATATAGGTTTTAAATTAGATGAATAGATTTAATTGGAACTTCTTATTTTACTTTCATTGGAAAAAGTCATATATATATCGATAAATAGTATTTATATCCTTGATTTTAAAACTATTGGGGCGGGACCCCATACATCAGAATGTAAAAGCTCTAGGGATTATATTTACGATTGATAGAAGAAAAAAAAGGTAACTTGTGGCTCTTAGAGTCCATACATGATTGACAATTAGGATGATGTATAGGGATGTGGAGATCCTTGTTAGATTTGGAGATGATGGAAATTATTCAGTGGTGAGGATGCCTAAGTCGTTGATGCCAGCGAATATCAAAAGTGAGAGATGCAGCGAGAGCTTGAGAAGCTGGCTGATAAGGTAGCTACAACGGATACAAGTTGTTACTAGACGGATTTTGATGGATGCATTGCTAGTGTTGGTCCAAAATTTTGTAACCAGAGGCATCAAAAGATATAATAAGATTATTATCATGAGTAAGCTTGTAGACAGATAAAAGATTATGGGAGATGTGTGGTGCATGTATAAGTGTGGGAAAAATTAGCTTACAGTTGGGCATTGGAAGAAGACCCTAACTTTTGTGAAGAATGGGAGTGGTAGAACTGTTAATTCCCAACAACAACTTGATCAGTCCATGTGTACGTAGGTGTCAGGTTATAGGAGATTGTCAATATATGGTGTGAGGTAAGATGAAGCCCCTAATTAGTCAAGGATTCACTCATTCAATGGTGGCGATGAAGATGAGGAGATGAAGGCCTTGTGGTTAGAGGTAGGAGGTGTAGGGGTGTAGTTAAATGTTCAAACGGTGTCAATAGTTGATCTTAGTGTGGTCACGTTTATTACAGATTTGACAGATTAAAAGTGTCGTTGAGGTACGATTGGGAGGTGTATTACGGTAGTCTTTGTTGGTGGAGTATTGGGGCATGAACATGATTATCTCTACTATTATGATTATTATATAGAGTGTGGGAGTTGTTAATTGGAACTAGTTGAGTTTTGGCTAAATCTGCAGCAAGGTAGATTTCCTCACTCATGAGCAGTGAGTAGAAGTCATCTAAGGCCATTGGAATGAGAGATGTTTGGATTGAGGTTTTGAATGATTGATATTATATAGGGAGTCCATTTAGGGTATACAATATGATGTCTTCAAAGTTTTTGGCAGATCTAGCAGCGAATATGTTGTCTACTAGCGTCTTGATCTCGATGAGATACTAGGTCATGAAGGAGTTCTTCATGGAAATGTTGTGGAGCTCATTTTTTAATTGAAAACGAGAACAGTTGGTGGCTTTGAGGCGACGCTCAAGAGTGAGCAAGATCTCACTGCAGGTATGTAAATGCTGAATGCAGGGAAGAATATATGTGGTAATTAAGGGTGGAGCAAAGATTGAATTAGCCTTCTTAATTAAATTCAATTTAATGTAAATCTATTCGATTGAGATCAAATTAAAGCGATCAAAGTTGAGTCAACATTGAGTCATTCAGCGTCCACCTAAGGAAAATCCTAGAGGTGACTTCTACACTACGATAAGGAGCCTTAATTTCTAGGAGAACCATAGAGTAAGATTGACCTCACCAAAAGTGAGACCAACATAATAGTATTGTATTATAATCCTCCTTTGCATGTGTAAGATAGAAGATGAATTTGTTTGTTATGGTCACATTGTGTAAATGACTTTGTGCTGCTCCATAGTATGCCACCGTTCTTAGTTGTTATTAAAAATAAGTAAATTATGGAATAAACAATATTTTAATTTTCTATTGAATATAGAAGTTAGCTAGTTTGTACGCCTCTAAGTATGTGGACTAGAGGTTTAATAATCAATTATGATCTGTTTAGAGATTATGCTATGCTTGAGATAAAATTTCAACCTCTATAATATTAAAATTTTGACTTTCTTATCGAGCTATCTGACAATATGCCCAAAAATTAGGTTGTTTATTAAGTCAACAATGGATTCCCAATATATAAATTCACAGTAGCAATTCAACCATACGAGAAATTAGTATGTGCGGTTATCAGATCGTTTGAAGGAGAATTAGGATACGCCACGTCACCCAGTATATAGCGATACACAGCACAGATACATAACAATATGGTGATATGACACTTTCTGATTCGCCTTCGGATGACTCATGGAATAATTTATCCAATCATACATACCTCTTTCACTTTTGCAAACTTGAGGGTTCCCATATATCAACCTACTCTTAGATTCGAGTCATTAAAACTTAAAATCTTTGAAGCATCAACAACGAATAAACTTTTAATTGGCAGCAGACAATCTACAATTATATTTTTTTCTTAAATTATATATATACGTAGGGGTGTCAATATTTGACATGACACGAAAATCCGACCCGGAAAATCCGGGTTGCACCCTCGTGCTCGCGAAACCCGAGCTCCTTCTCTGCCGCACGGGTCGGGTCGGGTCAACCCAGCAACACGCCAGGTTGGGTCCGGGTTCGAATTTCCGACCCGTTTGAACCCGTGTCAGTTTCAGATTCGACCCGAACCCGACCCGTGACCCGAAATTGACACCCTATATATATACGAAAGCATTGCTAGTCACTGCACTCCAACGACGCAGAAAATAAACTACTGAAAACTGTTGGAGATTGATTGGATAGCTCTCAAATGGCTTTGCAAGCAACAGCTTTTTCTTTTTTCCCTTCATTAATTTGTATCTTTTCTAACGGTCGATCAAACACAAATTAATAAACAGAAATCAAACCCCTCCCAAACGAATTAACAGCAAAATCAAACGCTACAGCTTTGCAATTCCCTTCAGTTATACAAGCCATAACGCACAGGAATGGTGACTCCCCCTCTCTCGTTATTTATCCACTCAGTGCCCTGTATGAAGTCCGCCACCGTGAACCTCGCCGCCGGCTTCTTCAGTTTCCTCACGCCCTTCCACTTCACCCTCCCATCAAACTTCGCCCCTGGCCCCGTGTTGTTATACTCCCCGTAAAATAGAGTCTTGAGTGCGAAATCCCCCTCCCATGGCAAATACCCATCGGGATGTATGACATCGCTGATCTCCGTCTCCATGATCACATGCCGCGCGTACTCCTTCCACGGCCTGCCGAGGTAGCTCCTGATCTTGTTCTTGAAAGGCAACAGCTTGTCGTCGCCGATGATCTTGCATTTGTGGAGGACAAAGCCGGTGGTTTCGTGGCGGTCAACGCGGCCGTGGGCGAGGACGATGTTCTGTTGGTTGTCGAGAGGGCGACGGATGACCATGAGGCAGTTTTGGAAGACGGAGGCGGAGTCGCCGAAGATGAAATCGACGGTGCCAGCGATGACGCAGCTGCGGTAGAATTGTCGCTTGGCTTGGGCGTAGAGGGTGTCTTGGTAGCCTTCGAAGCGGCATTCGAAGAAGATGGAACGGTCGGATTGGACCCGGATTGCCACGGCTTGGTGCTTGATGGCTCCGGCGGTGTTGCGGACGCCAAAGCCAATGCCCATGAAGTTGTCGCCGGAGACCACTGTGTACATTTCACAATCACTTTCCGCCTAAACAGATTCTAAATCAAAATAATAAAATAATATCCACACATAAAACTATCAATGCTCACCAAACGTAGCAGTCATGAAAGTTCTGACGCCATCGACGAAATTCTTCTCTCCAGTGATGATCGTCTTCGCACTTCCATCGCCGTAAACGGTCAAGTTCGGCATTTTCTTCGTGACATTTACTGTCTCCTCGTACACTCCCTCTTTAACATAGATCACATACCTTAATCATCATTTTAATACGCTCCTCAGTATTAAAAAATTAATTTTACCTCTTAATTCATTAATAATTAAGAAATTTAACCTTCCAGTGTACTCGTTCGGAATCTTCGCCAACGCCATTGAAATCGTCGTGTAATCGCCGGTCCCATCCTTAGCCACCGTAACATTTGGCTTTAGATTCGTATTGACCTGCCTAAGAACCCTTCTCTCATCCTCATGAACCCACGAAGGAATGCCCTCATCGTCAAATTGGTGCAGTTCTTCTTTCTCAGCGAGCAGCTTCCTTCCACTAACGGTCAATCCCGGAACCTCCAGCATTTCAAGAAAGCTCGATAGCTCCTTAACAATTGCAAGAGAGTTGCTCGTTAGCTCTCTTGCTGTCTTTAACGTCTTTTTCAGCTTCACCTTAAGCTCGCCGTCAGGGAAACCGTCAATGCAGGTTTGTTGATACGACATGACAGAGCTCAGCCATGTTCTGATGTCGCGCGACTTCCTGGGGATATGTTCAATGCCGGTGGAGACGATGTCGTCGAGCGAACGTTTGATCTCGTCCTTGGAGTCCTCGAACAGCTGCCGGCAGTCTTCGACGGCGCCACGAACTCTCGGGTCCTTGTCGGCTAGGAGGCGGGTGCGGCGGAAGGCCGTGCTGATCTCGTCGAGAACAACGGCGACGGCGGCCTTGACGAGTTCTTTGGGGTCGGTGGTGTTCTTCTTCACGACTTTGTTGAGGCTGGAGACGCAGGTTTGTTTGTAATCGGTGGATTCGCACATTACCTGAAGGTCGAATCAGAAAACTCTCCACAATCAAAACGTAATAATTGAATTTTAAATTTTTAGAGGGTAAAAATTATATTTTTATACAAATAAAAACAAGCATTTTAAAATTTGAAGGGGCTACGGCCGTCCACCAGGGCCTTCTTAAATCCGCCCTTACCTGAATGGACTTGGCGGTGGAATGCAGTTGCGTGGCGGGGGAACCGGCAGTGGCGGATGTGACGATGTGGGAGGAAGGAGTGTCTTTCTCTGGGCTGTAGAGCGTGCAGGCGGTGCCGACGACGGCGAGGAGGAGAATGAGAGAAGCGATGGAGCCGGCGATCCGCCTGTAGCGGCGCTTCCGCTGTTCTTCGTCGGAGAAGGCTGCCATGGCGGGAGAGATGGTAATGGAAGTTTTTATGGAAAGACACGCACGTAGTTTTATTATTATCTTCCTCTTCTCCCCGCCTAGCTAGTCTTTCTCCGAGCTTTTTTGGCCGGAAGGCCTGAAGAAAGAGGTGAAAGAGGCGTATGGGTTGTATGAAGATGGTGGCTTTATTCTCTTTTAAGGCTGGGCGTCCATGGACGCGAGTGATTTTAGCTTCCGCGGCTTCTACTCTGCGCAATGGACACGGGATTATTTTGAGCCTCTTCTTCACATCGATTGCTTAGGGCCCCTTGAAATTGGGATTTTGATGACTGAATTGACCTTGCTATTTATGAATTTTTCGTTACTGATATGTATATTGTCAAGTTCGTTAGGAAAATAGTGTAGGGGTATTTCTGACAGAAAGAATTTTAGCGGGTTAAAGTTTTAACGGGTTAAATCAGAAGAAAACTGACCCTACAATCCAGGAGTGCCTGTCTGGTCTCACCGAGTTCGCTTTAAATTAAATTTATATTTTGATACTGCATTAGAAAAAAAAAAATACTAGGCGTGAATCTTGATGCGTATTTAAATTGAAAATTTTCAAAATCAAATTCAAAACCGTCAAAACTCGCATTTTAATAAACTTATAGTCAAAATGAACGTCTTGACAAAACGAACCTAAGGACACCAAAAGTGGAGCAATCTAAGTCTGAATGAACACCTTTCAAGCACTTAAAAGTATAGTAAAAGATTTTGGGATATTAATTGGAGAATCAAAGGATCTCAAAATCTCGCATGCTTATAGTTGAATCAAGCATCTTGATGAGAAAAATTAAATGAGCATAAGATCTCTTAATTTCAACATATTTATAGGAAAGGTCTATAATTGAGGAAATCAATTCGGGTTACTTGATGAAGTGCTCCAAATTTTAGCTATATTTATGAGGTATGTCATTCTCAAAATTTTATAAATAATCCCTCACTCTGTACATGAGGGGGTGTCATTACTTGACCATGGTCCTTCAACCAACTATGTTCAACTATAATCATCTGGCATTCGTTGGTCGAATACAATCCTTTGATCAAAATCACTCAAATGAAATATTCTAACCTTCGTCACTCGACTATAGTCGTCTAACTTTCGTTATGAAACTACATTTATTTAACCTCCATCGCCCCACTATGATGCTGACTTTTGTTGCCCAACTAGAGTCTTTTGACCATGTTCACCTAACTATAGCCATTCGACCCCCTTCACCTGAATATGATTCATTGACTACCATTGCCTGATTATAGCCCTCTGACCTCCATCAACCAAGTACAATCATATGACCTCCATCACCTAACTATGATCCTCCGACCATCTTCTGCGTGCTATGGTCCTCAGTTATGGTCTCGCAACCACCTTCATCCAACTAAGATCCTTCGACTTCAATTGATCGAATATGATCCTCCAACCACTATCATCTAACTATGATCTTTTGACTATCATCACCCAACTATGATTCTCTAACTACCATCGTTTGAATATGATACTCTGACCATTATCACCCGGCTACACCAATTCCCATGAACTTCATCACCTACCATACTCAATAATATCAAAGCACTCCATCACCCAGAAGGTCCATGCATGCCATTGAAGCACCAAGTTTAACTCCCAATGTTAATTCCATGATTTATGATGGACTTCTTAGTCTATGATCCCCCTTCCTTAAAGGAATACAATCAAACAAACATGCAATCAATATCTTATAAATAGCTCTCATATTACAATACTCTTCCAACTTCCAACACATAGAATACTTCCAACACATAATGTGTTCTATGTGTTGTAAGTTTGCTATATTACATCAATACCTTCCTTGAGGAAGGACATCATTTATATCTGATAATAGATACTAGTAGAATCATTTCAATTGAACCAGACCCCATGAATTTTCCTTCTCCAAAATATTCGTGTAAAAAGTTTGGTGTCACATCCAACTCCTCTCTTGTCTCCTTGATTGCATGCTATATGTCCCTTATTCATATGATTGATGGCATTAACCTATGACAATCAATTTAAGACCATATTAGATAGATGGTACTTAATTAGAGCAGGGATAATTTCTCTTTCAAAGAATATGTAAACATAACATTAATAACAAAACTCCTTTATAATGCTACCAAATCATATTATTTGTACTATAATATCTAAAGATGATGAAAATGATATTGAAGATTTATTTTCCTTTTTCGGCTCCTTGATGTATAGACATATGCATCTATATTATACTTAATTTGGCAAGACAAACTAGCCCTTCTAAATTTTAAATTTGGATTCCACTTAAGCATGCATAATTATATTTATTGCCTTTGAGTGTTCAATAAGATTTCTTCAAAAATAAAGTGTTTAATAAGAATTTTCTTAAATTTGATTTATATATGTTTAATGAAATTATTTGTTTTATATTTCCTTCATATATTGTATATTGGCTTGGATTGTATCACATCTATTTATTTTAAAATTCAAAAAACTCTTAAATGAATCATAAGACATAATTTCTTATAAAACTTATATGTATTCTCTGATCAAAAGCCAAGTTTTCAAATCAATCACATCTTTTCACTTTGAATATGTGTGGAACTATAGAAACTGGTTGACCTATCTATTCTATTCACAAAGTAGTAACACTTTATAGATAAATTAGATCCCTCACCTAATATATGCAGTTTTTTTTTTCTTTTTGGGACATTTAAGGCCAGTTAAGGAGACTCACACACACAACGCATACACAAGACTCGAACCTAAGACCTCTTAGTTGATAGCCTAAGCTCCCAACCAACAGACCAAGGTGAGCCGTGTAATACATGTAATTTACAGGCCTATATATCTCATGATTAGACTAAATTATTTTTCACATCATGTTAGATAACTAAAGAAAAGTGTATTTGAGTATTACAATAACACCTTATTGGTGTGCTCTTATCATCACATCAATGGGTAAGTCATAATATATTATTCTTAAATAAAATAATACAACCTATCTTGCATACACATAGGCTATGCCCCTATAGAATAATTTTGTAAATAATTGAATGGGTCTAGTAGGTTCCCTTTTTCAGACATGATCATAAGACCAAATGTTGGGCTTTCATAGTATTCTTGAGGTTTAGGTTGCAAGTCTCACAACGATCACCTTTTGTAGTAGATATAGGCTCAAAGCATTATTTTAATGATAGTTTATGCATCTACCATATATTTAAGTTTGATGTATGTTTTCTTAACTATGACATTATAAGTCTTCACCTGAGGCAATTTCATAAAATGAAGTTAGGGATGTTTGTTTTGCTAAAAAACAAATGCATAATAAAAGAGCAAAGTTTACAATTAATATAGTATATTTAAAATATTTTTGAGTTGTTTGATTGAGAATATTTTAAATATAGGAGATTACATTTTTATATTTAGTTTAAAGTAAAATTATTTCAAAATAAAATTACATTGTGATAACAACGAGGCATCCGACCAATGACTGCATGGTGGGGCGGTGACCTAGAATAGTAGTTGTTATGGGTGGACGGTGACTAGCGATAGTTGGTGGTAGACTATGGCGATGGCTAGAGATCGGCAGGCAATTAATGTGGCGGTGGAGAGGAAGTGACCGTCGAAAGCAATGGTGGTAGGTGCAACTTCATATTTTCAATGTATTCAGAATTTGTTAGGTTTGAGTAAATTTCAAATACATTAAAAATAAACTTAATAAGGAATTCCAAATATATCAATAAAATACTTCACATTACTTTTTCATCCAATTAAATGCCGAAAATTCAAATCTTTTGCATTCATAAAAATTTACATAACAAATGCAACACTGAAGGAAAAAAAGAGCATTCTAAAGAAACAAAATAGCATTTTACAAGCAAATATGTTACAAACTTGGATGCAACAACAATATTGCAATTAGAAAACTCGTCACAAATCTTGTTATAAATATTTTTGCAACATGAAAAGATAGTTGCAAAGCATGTTGTAATGAAAAGATATGCTACAAATAGTTCAATCAGGCAGTGTTTCAGGCATTATTTTGCAACAAAATTCAGCTGTAAAATCAATCTCCAAAGCCATCATATTCCATGTAGCTAGCTTATAATCTTTTTTTTTTTTTTTTTAATAATTTTTACACTTGCAAACATAAGAAATGGCAACCATAACACAATCCATACTATATACAATACCCATGCAATATACACAAGTAACAAATGATGGATTGAAATGATTATCAAGTAATAATTAGATATTCTTAATAAATATAGTTAAATGCTATTATATAGCGTACACCATTCATGATTTATATAATAATCATTCAATCTATTTCATTTAAATGAAATTAATAAAAACCTTAATGAAAATTTAGTCACCATCAATATTGTTATCATCTTCTTCTCATTCATCATTGTCATTGCCATCCTCAGCATTATAATGAGTCTACCCCATACCACCTTGCTTTTATATCTCTTTATGGATGGATTCGATATGTTGATCATCTTTAACCTCCTATTGTATAACAAGATGGTCGTGATATTTGCTCCCTCTATATATTTGTAATGTGAATGGGAATTGCACTCTCCTTGGCACAACCTCTAAAACATGAGTGCGCCCTTTGGTGATTTAGTACATCAAGTGGATCAAAAAAAAAATTTTTGAAGCTGAAGTTATAATTTTAGAAGTAATAAATGAATTGGCCACTTAATGAATATTGGAGAAATAAATGAAGGTGGTTGGTACCTTCCTCAATTAATGGTCACCTATATCATTTCCCTCTAAAATTTTCCTCTTTTTTTGAATGATGGTAATCATTGTAACTCTATATATAATGATATTATATAATATTGTTTTTAGAGGGAATATCAAGACTAGTTTATATCATGCTAGTTTGAGTTGATTTGATCTAAATATTAAGGGAATGGGTTAAATAAAGGGTAAATGAAAAGAAAAAGAAGTGGAGGGTTATTTTGGGATATGAAGTAATGATCTA